TAAATGAACATGGTATTAATAATAATAATTTAAATCATACAGGTAAACACTTAGATCCCTTTACAAAGCCAGAAATATGAACTGCAGAGCCCAATTGGAAATAACCTTAATTTGGGTTTGAGGTTCACAGTCAATTTCTGAAAAATAAATTTTAGAGATATATATATATATATATATATATATATATATATATATATATATAAATGTTTATTTTAATAATAATGATGGTGATAGCAATAATAATAATAATGTTTATCATAGAATTTATAGACGGAAAATGAGAAAGTAAAAGGAAATGTTGGTTAAAAAGTTTAAGCGAATTTCAGTCCCCCACCCCACAAAATATATGAGAATAGAAACATTATAAACAAAAGCGATTGACTTTAAGAATTCAAAGAAAATTTGTTGCTACTTTGGCATGTTATCTGTGTTTCATGAATCTACTTTGGTATGCGATCTACACTTTATATTGATATCAATGTCATAAATCGCACTTAGACGACTTCTGTTGACTTTTATTTAGCATTTTTAGCCGATGTACGTGCCGTTTATCGCTAGAATTATTAATAGAAATTTTTTTTAATATCTTAATTAAAATTTCTGTATGCTATATATATAATGTTTTTCTTTCTAAAATAAAATTTGTAGATATCTTCTCCTTGTAGATAACAAGCCTAAGTAGCACCGAAAATTTATTTTAAAATCGTTGTTCTCTGCAAAACGTTTCAACATGGTGAGACATGCATTTTGGTTGTTTTGTGTATTTGACAAGGCGACAGAAAAATGACTACCTAAGGTGTGGGACGTAACTGGGAACGATGTGTCGAATTCATTTAAAGCCGGACTTATTTCTTTAAAAAAAGAATATCGTTGAACAATTACCAGAACAACTTCATTCAATGCCAAATTTTGATCGATAAACAAGTCAGGAAAGAAAATGGTTCAAGGGAAATAACTCTTAAAATAATGAAGGAGTTGTCTGCTCTTGTTCGGGTGAACGCGGTCGAAAATTACGAGCTCTCGGTATAATTGAATATTTGGATTCAGTTCGTATTAAAATATATTTTTGTATTCTTATTTATTTTATTCCTTCCATTATCTCAATAATAGCATACGTATTAACAAATAGATGTGTGAGTATAGCTTGTGATTATATGAATATTTGTCTTGATATTTTGAAATGAGATCATATTGAAATGTCATAAAATTCTATTTTATGTTATATAAAATAGAATATAATTATTAAAAATAAAAGTAATGGTAATTAAACACATTTTGGGACAGTTATACCTATTTTGTTACATATTAATTTGTTATATTTTGTCAGAATTTTTACAGGAGACAAGTGAACTATTGTGACAACTGTTAACTAAATAGCGACAGACCGTTATTGGACCCACTGAATTAAATAACTTTAAACAACAAGAATTTCAAGATACATACATACATACATATATATAGATATATATATTCTAGCTATGCTTTCAGCATTGATCACTTAACTGCTATTACGTATGTTTATATATCCACCGATTTCAACATATATAAAGTACGTGTGTTCTTCGAATTTTTATGATTTCCGGGGAAATTTGAAAGTAATTTGTCCACTGTCTTGAACGCTTCTGACTTTGATAAAAGACAAATTACAAAACTTGAGAAATAATTCTTTGATAATGACTTATAATAGTCGAAACGGCCCAGAAGAAATTGAATAATTTATATTTAAAATTTACCTCGGAAACCCGAAAAAAATTGTTTGAACGGAGAAAACTTAAAAGAATTTAAAACAAATAAGGTTCGTTGGTCTATAACCAAATATTCATAAAGAAAAATGATTGGCCATATACTCTCTCTATATATATATATATATATATATATATATATATATATATATATATATATATATATATATATATATATGTCTGAATAACGCAAAACGCAAAAATGAAAATAACACTGATATATTTACCAGAATTACACAAAAATATCTTAAATTACTAAAGAGTAAATTTATTCAATAAAATCGGCATTTGCTTCAACCATGCCCTCCAGACTACTTCGAAATCACCTGCAACTCTTCTGGACGGTCTCCTTGTTTAAGTTAGTGAATACTGCCTCAATCCTTGCCTTTCATGTTACAAGGAGTTTTGTTGGCCTCTTACTCAACTGCGCCCCACATATAATAATCAATGGGGTTGCAGTCTAGGGAGTTAGGTGGCCAGATGTAAGGGGTGATGTGATCGACAGCCATGACTGGGTTCGCCTGCTTGTGCAGCATGGTGCAGAGTCCTGTTGCCAAACATAGGGTCTTCCGGCAGCCACCCTCTTGACACAGGGCAGCACTATCTCCTCAAGGCACTTGATGTAGGCCTTCGTACTGAGTCTGAGGCCCTCACCCACAAATTCGGGACCTTTTCTTATCAGAAGGATTGGATTAAGTTTTCCAAGCTGCCGTACCTTCGTAATCACCATTAGATTCATCGAACTCTCCCTGAATCCTGTGCAGTTTAAAACCCAAATACTCTGAAATGCGCGGAATTAAAAAGAAATTGGCGACAATTTACCCATCGCATTCTGTGTGTGTGTGTGTGAGAGAGAGAGAGAGAGAATATATATATATATATATATATATATATATATTCGCCCACGTCGATACCGAATGTATCACAATGTCAGTTTAAATTAACGGCAATATCGTGTATAATAGCGCAACTCCCTCTGCACTTCCCCTTTGGGTGACGCCTCAGGCGCTGGGCAATAAACTCAACCTCTTCTCGAATAACAGGTATTACCGATATTTATCTTTGACTCTCCACTGAGTCAGGATGCGACACAAAGTCAGTTTATTTTCACGTCTGGAACCCGTGTGTCTCCACTCGTGTCACTGGGTTTTTTTTCTAGTCATAGCCAGTCAAATAACACGTTACGGAACACATCTGAGGATTCTGTCCAAGCAGCAGGGAGGAGGTGGACCCGGCACGGAACTGATATTACAACAGCATCTACTCCGCCCCAGGGCACCTGCCCCAAGAACATGTATTACCTGGGAGATATATATATATATATATATATATATATATATATATATATATATATATATATATATATATATATATATATATATATATATATATATAATATATATATATATATATATTATATATATATAATATATACCCAGGTATAGATTTGTGTATAGGGAATAAATTCCAATAACCAACAAATACTATTCTTAAAAGAGTGCTCAATACAGAGTAGAGCAAATATAATTATTTATTCGAAAATTATAACATAAATATGTTATAAAATCACTACAAAATAACCATTTTGTTTCAACATTTCTGGATAAGATCAAGTGATGGTGTTGAAAACAAAATCATCATTTTGATAGTGATTTTATAACGTTTGTATTTAATTTTCGTATAAATTATATATATATAAATAATTATATATATATATATATATATATATATATATATATATGGCGTGGGTAAGCAATTTTGCATAGACGATAGAATTAACTGAAAATCTTTTACATTTTCAAACTGAGTCTTTCTAAATTTTACAAGTAAATAAAAGTTAAATGCAGTTTGTGACTTGTCACCGCATGTTAATCCCTCTAATCCGTAACGGAGAACCGGGTCAACCCGACAAAAGACCTAGATTTGTTTGCGCGTGGTGCAGTAAACACCAGGAATTATGTCCTCTTCCACAATTGGCTGTTGAGAGAGGACATTCTACTTCCAAGTGGTGGCACTGACAAAATCTGAATATGAACGTTACTGAGCAGGTATTAGCCAATAGTCAGCGTAGGCCTGGAGCCGAGAGAACTATATAACACCAGCTTTTCTCAGTCGTGGAAAAAGCGCTCTTGACGTGTGGTCAACCAGACCAGACACGACATATAGATTCTTCGAGGATTGCGTTAAGTATTATATGGCTGAAGCATATTTACTCATTCATTCTACAAATATTTTCATGGCAACTGTTCTGATCAGCACCCCCCCCCCGGCCCCAGTTCCTCAACTACCTGAATTTAAGCGTGCTACTAGGTTGGCAACTAGGTCTCAGCGTTTTATTGTTGAACCAGACAGATGTAACCATCAGTTATGTCCGAACAGTTCCCTTTCTCGCACTTCTCACCTGTGGGACACCCTTCCGATTTCTTGCTTCCCTGTCAACGACGATCTTCAAAAAAATGAAATGCCACGTCAATCGTCATCTTCTCTTGTTCTGAACCTTGTCCTTTTACTGTCCTTTGCTTCACTTTCTCTGACTAAAGTCTTCTCGTTCTCTTTCACTCTTTCACTAATTAGAACTAGTTCGCTATTATCCGCGTGATTTTATATAGCACTGATAACGTGGTTCCATTGTATATGTTTTTTATTTTCTTATTTCTGTGACAATTTAGGAAATTATTTTAATTTTTATTATAATTTTATTTTATAGGTAAGTTTTATCATCATTTTACCTTTTGATTTATTGGATCCATTGGACATAAAACTACAGTGGATATTATAGCAGCAGATTTATAAAAAAACAAAAAAGGTAAGTGCTTTTTTTATTCTAACAAAAACAGCAAATTTTATTTTAATCCATGCTGTGTGCATTTGACTTCTCAGCCTTTCCGAATGCTTGCGGATAATGGACAACGACAGCGGAATTATGGTGAAGAATCCAAGCATTTGAAACTAGATTCTAGAATGCCATCCTCGGTGTTTCCGAGGTAGACCGTATTGCAAATGACATAGGGGGAGGTACCATCAAACAAGAAATAGACCCATTGTAAGACATCATAATCACCGTGAATAACAGAAAGTTGAAATTGTATGGGTATACCATTACCATCCTGCAAGGTACCACAACCTGAGGCAAAAGAAGCTACAGAGAAAGCAAAAAAAAAAAAAAAAATGAGTTGACATTGTCACTGATTGAACTGGAAGAGACTTAGACATAGACACGCAACCGAGATATATGGAAAAGGCTGGTCAGGTGTTCAGATGTGCAGCGACACTACCACCTTACGCAAATATGTGACGAGTGATGATGAATACAACAAGGCAATCTTCTTTTTTTCCTTTTTTTTGACTTCTATTTTTCTTTCCTTTTTTCGTGTTTCCTTTCTTTTTCCTTTTCTCTTTTTTTTTCCTTTCTCTTTCTTTTCATTTTTTTTCTCTTTTTTTTTTCTTTCCTTTCATTTTTTTTTCTCTTTTTTCATTTTTTTTTCTCTTCTTTCCTTTTCCTTTTTCATTTTTTTTTTTTTTTTTCTCTCTTCCTTTCATTTTTTCTCTCTCTTCCTTTCATTTTTTTCTCTTTTCCTTTCATTTTTTTTCTCTCTCTTTCTTTTTTTCCTCTTTCCTTTCATTTTTTTTTCTCTCTCTTCTCTTCCTTTTCTCTCTTCCTTTTTTTTCTTTTATTTCTCTCTTCCTTTCATTTTTTTCTCTCTCTTCCTTTCATTTTATTTTCCTTTTATTTCTCTTCCTTTTCATTTTTTTTCTCTCTTTTTTATTTCTCTTCCCTTTCATTTTATTTCATTTTTTCTCTTTCTCTTTTATTTCTCTCTCTTTCCTTTCATTTTTTCTCTCTCTTTCTCTTTCATTTTTTTTCTCTCTCTCTTCTTTCATTTTTTTCTCTTTCCTTTCATTTTTTCTCTTCCTTTCTTTTTTCTCTCTCTCTTCCTTTCATTTTTTCTCTCTTCTTTCTTTTTTTCTTTCTTCCTTTTTTTTTCTCTCTCTTCCTTTCATTTTTTTCTCTCTCTCTTTTCTTTTTTTCATTTTTTTTCTTTTTTTCTCTCTCTTCTTTCATTTTTTTCCTTTCTTCCTTTCATTTTTTCTCTCTCTTCCTTTCTTTTTTCTCTCTCTTTCCTTTTTTTCTCTCTCTTCCTTTCATTTTATTTCTCTCTCTTCCTTTCATTTTATTTTCTCTCTCTCTTCCTTTCATTTTTTTCTCTCTCTCTTCCTTTCATTTTTTTCTCTCTCTCTTCCTTTCATTTTTTTCTCTCTTCCTTTCATTTTTTTCTCTCTCTCTTCCTTTCATTTTTTTCTCTCTCTCTTCCTTTCATTTTTTCTCTCTCTCTTCCTATTTGCTTTTAATCATTTTAAGGCAATAAAGCAATTAAAACGCGAAGGAGTACTGAGGATGAAAGAAAACCAGGAAAATGTTACTGCGAAGAAAAGACAATAAAATAAAAGAACCGGGTTCAAGAAGACAGATGACGACGATTAATACTGCATCTTTTTTCAGTGTTTATTTTGTTTCTTTTTTTTTTCTGAATGTACGAGGGAGGGCTAAAATATTTTTCTAAAATCTGACCAAATAACGAAACAGAATTTCTTTCGAAATCACATTTTGATCCGTTAGCGAAATTTTCAGTATCTCGTATAGCTCTTCTTTTTTATTTTATATTTTTATTTTATTTATATTTTTTGTAAATTTCATTCTTTTATCTTTTTTTTTGCATTTGTATGATTATTTATTTTACTATTTATATTTGTAATTTCTAACACTAACCAACAAAAAATATTTTGTCTGCCACCCGGTTGCCGTACAAGACTAACTCGAGTGCTGATTCCGATTATGTACTCGAAATTGTTATACATGTCATATATTTTAGATATGAATATTTATGTCCAAGGTAAATATCAATATTAGGATTTGAAATGAGACCGTATAACCTTTTAGAAAAGGCTTTATTCATCTACAAAAGTGATGTCAAGAAACACATGGAATTTCTAAGAATTGTACATATGGCATAAGGTGTTGAGTTACACTACAGTGTTTTTAAACTTGGGCGATATCGCCCACCGGTGGGTAATTTCAAGTGTATTTTTATTGTTCAAAACACACACACACACACACACACATATATATATATATATATATATATATATATATAGTTTGTGTATGTCTTAGTAGTATAAAAAGAGCAAAGCATGTTTGTCATTTTTTTTCCTTTCAACCATTCCATCTGTCTGTGAACTACGGTGTTATTATATGACGGATATAATAATGCCCATAATGGGGGAAATACAAATAGAATAAATCTTTCTTCCATAGCAACCTCCCGTTACAAGGACAATAGTGAAATTGCCGTAATTCAAACAGCTCGATAGGATTAAACGTTTTGATAGTCATAACAGTTTGCTCAATATGAACCAGCTTTTCTCAAACATTTGCTCTTACGGAACCTTTGAAATAGTTTTCATGTCTCATTGAACCCTGCATAAAAATTATTATATACCATTATCATATTATCTATCTCTTTTATATTTTTATCGTAGTTCAGTGAAAAAAAAAAACATTTTTCGGATAACTGGTTTAAGGGGAGAATGAACCATTTTGGTTCAATTTATTGGTAATGCTAAAAAAATCCTATTGTTCAACAATAGGATTTTTTCCTAGATCAAGAAGTCCTCCTAAAGAAAAATGGTCTCTCCCGATAGGAATTGAAGCTGTATCTCTCTTTTCTATTAGGGAAACCGCTTCTACGGAATTGGATTATTTTTATATAGGAGTTTTACAAATATATATTTTTTTGTATAAACTTTCCTTAACTTCCAAGCAATGATCGAAATTCTAAGGTTGTTACTACGTTTAGAACAGAAAATAGATTTAGTTGAACAATTCAGAACAGCCATCAAGAAAACATTCACAACAGACTTGACTGGAATTTTTCTTTTTCTTTTTTTGCTATGTTGGATAAGATATAAGACATATGCTTTGTAGGTATAAAAAATAAACCCTATTTATTTGATGTGACCGTAATATTTCTTGCTTTTCTTGTTCTTTTTTGGGGGGTGGGGGAGTCGAACGGCCACCCATTTTGAGCTTGATATATAAGATGAATACTACACATTGCGTGTATTATTAAACCTCTTTTTCGTCTTTAAACAGGTTTTATTTTATTTTTTTTTAATCGACAATTTAGGAATTTTTTTTTCTCTAAGTTACATCCAGGTCCTTGACTTTTTTCTTTCGGGCCCTTATTATATCTCGACCACTTTCCGCCCCTCACCTCTTTATTTTTTCGATCTTACTTTTCTCGTTTTTTCTTTTATCAGCTATGTTATCGGCAATGTTTACCCAATTATCTCCCTTGACACACTTCTTTCCATCACTTTTGCTTGAATGAGTAAAAACGAACCGCGTTAAGCATTTGTGAACCCTTCTGTCTGGATGTGTTTTCTTTTTTTTTTTTTCCTTTTTCTTTAAGAGTTTTCACATCTTATATTATCTTCTTTCTCTTTTGTATTACTACCTTTACACTTCTCACGTATTCTCATTTGAGTTGATTTCTTTTCTTCTTTCCATTCTCCTCTTCTTTCCATTCTCCTCTTCTTTCCATTCTCCTCTTCTTTCCATTCTCCTCTTCTTTCCATTCTCCTCTTCTTTCAATTCTCCTCTTCTTTCCATTCTCCTCTTCTTTCCATTCTCCTCTTCTTTCCATTCTCCTCTTCTTTCCATTCTCCTCTTCTTTCCATTCTCCTCTTCTTTCCATTCTCCTCTTCTTTCCATTCTCCTCTTCTTTCCATTCTCCTCTTCTTTCCATTCTCCTCTTCTTTCCATTCTCCTCCTCTTTCCGGCCTTCCTTTTTGCTTTCTTTCCTTCTGTCTTCCTCTTGTCTTTCCTTCTGTCTTCCTCTTGTCTTTCCTTCTGTCTTCCTTGTCTTCCTTTCTTCCTTTGTCTTTCCTTCTGTCTTCCTCTTGTCTTTCCTTCTGTCTTCCTCTTGTCTTTCCTTCTGTCTTCCTCTTGTCTTTCCTTCTGTCTTCCTCTTGTCTTTCCTTCTGTCTTCCTCTTGTCTTTCCTTCTGTCTTCCTCTTGTCTTTCCTTCTGTTTTCCTCTTTTCTTTCCTTCTGTCTTCCTCTTTGTATCCTTTGTTTTATTAATTCCTCTTGTCTTTATTCTTTCTTCCTCTTGTCTTTCCTTCTGTCTTCCTCTTGTCTTTCCTTCTGTCTTCTCTTTCCTTCTGTCTTCCTCTTGTTTTTCCTTCTGTCTTCCTTTTGTCTTTTTTTGTCTTCCTTTGTCTCGACTTCTTCCTCTTGTGCTTTGTCTTCCTCTTGTTTTCCTTTTCTTTTTTTTTCCTTCTGTCTTCCTCTTGTCTTTCCTTCTGTCTTCCTCTTGTCTTTCCTTTGTTTCCTCTTGTCTTTTTTGTCTTCCTCTTGTCTTTCCTTCTGTCTCCTCTATCTTTTTTTCTTTCCTTCTTTCCTTTGTTTCGTCTTTTAAAATCTATTCCCTATTATTTTGTTCGATTCTTTATTCTTTTCACTGTTATCTCGTTCTCTTTCTTTTCCTCTCTCCTCTAATATACTCCTCTTTTTATTTCGTTGTTTCTTTTTTTTTATAATTTCGACATCTCAATGGTGCTTTACTTTTCATTTTCTTTTTTTTTTCTCTTTTCTTTGCGCTGATGTCTCTTTGTTTCTCTCTTTTTTTGTCCTTTTGCCTTCTATCACTCTATCTCTTTTTCGGCGTCTCTCTTCATTTCGTCCCACATCTATTTATTTTTCATTCGATTCTCCTCTCTCTATGAGCCGATATTCCTTCTCTCCGTCTCTCTTCAGTCCTTTTCTCTCCGTTTCTAATCTCTAATGCCATTGTGTACGTGTGTCCGCACACATGGAAGAGAACAAGGTAAATATATAACCATCAAATATTTTCAGCCCCGATAATAACACAAAAGGACACAATAAATATATGATATTTCCCCATCTGTATATATATATATATCCGATTACACACACACACACATATATATATATATACATATATATATATATATATATATATATATATATATATATATATATATATAATGTAAGGTGATTGAATAGTCACTCCCCATTTGATGTATGAGTGGCCAGCCGGGAGTCCTGACTTACCACCCTGTGACTTTTTCCTTTGGATTTGGTTAAAGGAGCAAGTCTAATATACTAAACCAAGACTTGGGAAGAATTTGAAGGGCGAATACAATGTTATGTCTTCTATACCACAAGAGTTCCTGGTGAAATCAGTTGACGCCATTCCTGGGCGACTAGAGAGGATGGTAGAGAAATCTGGTACCTCCATGCTAAAACGCTTTCCTCTCATATCCAATTTTTGTAAAAATTATAGTTAATAAATAAATTATAATTATTTTAAAATGGGTAAGTAACATTTCAGTTACCCTGTACACATGAGAAAGGATAACTTTTCTAGACATATGTTTGTAATTTTTTCTTACAGTAATGCTTACCTCGTACAAGACCCAATAGCCACTTGAGGTAGAGGGTTACAGAGTATGAGGTAAGAGGCACAGTTTATGAGGTTATGTAGGTAAAATGAAGTTTAACAGTAAACTTAAATAGGTTAAGACTGTAGTAATCGGGGAAGCATCCTCTTGGGAGTAGGTTCGACAAAAAATACTAATCTATCGATACTTTTTGGCTAATCTTGTAGAGATTAAACTATCCGGCTTTAATGTCAGACTATAATACATCTCGTTTTGTTTTGTTTTTTGTTTTTTTTTACAGACAGTGGAGTTAATATCAACCAGTCTAGATCGAGAAGTCCTACTAAAGAAAAATTGTGCCTCCCGACAGGAATTGAACCTGTATCCCTCTTTTCCATCAGGGAAATGGTTTGTATGGAAAAAAGGGACACGGGAGACACAATTTGATCTAAACCAGTTGTTATTAATTTCACTGTTCAGAAAAAGAAAACATGGATCAACACCTCCATTCAAAAACACACACACACACACATATATATATATATATATATATATATATATATATATATATATATAAGCATGTGGGCACGATGGTATGTCTGTAATAGTCATTAAGAAGTGTGATTCCGAACTAGCTCCTGTTCTCTCTTAATTGTTTAATAAATTACTCTCTGACTCCTGATCTCCTGCCTGCTGAAATTTATCGTCTGTTCCAGTTTTTAACAAAAAAAAAAAAAAACCTTCCGACCCATCCAGCTATCGGCCTTCTACCTCTTTTTCGGAAACTCCCAGAGGCTCTAATCAATGCTGAATTGGTTAATCACCTCTCATTGTAGGGCCTTTTCTCAGACAAGCAATACGGCTTTCGTTTCTCCAGCTCAACTG